ACGGCCAACTTCTTACATTAACGAGATCAAGTTCACTTTTAAAGCAAATACCGTTCCGTAGCGCACCCGGGCCGTGTCTGCCCTGCGCGTTGGCTTTGGGGGAAGCTGGGTTGGGGCTGGGGGGGTGAGACAGGGGCTCCATGGCTGGGCCGTAGCTGGTGAGGAGCTCAGGGGGAGGAGGGCTGCAAGGACCGGCACCGGGCGGGAAGGTGCCGTCTTGTCCTCATCCTCATCCTCGGTGGTGCCTGCTGGATGTGACTGAAGCCTCTCTGGGGAAGGGGAGCAAAGCGTGGCGTGGGCGTACGGCCGACAAAGGTCGGGCAGGGCTGGGTTTGCCTTCTGGTTCACTCTGCCTGGCCCCGCCATTTCCCGGGACAGGGTTGCCGTGCCCTGGTGCGGTCTCGTTTCAGAGAAGGATGGCGTTGCTTTCCAGCTCCGGGCTCTGCCCGCGCCACTCCTGCCGCAGCCTCGCCCGTGGGCCTCGAGAGCCGGGTCGGGCTCCAGAAGGCAGCTCCCAGGGCTGCGGGCGCTCACCAAGCAGCGCGCAGCTGGAAAATGGGCCGGTTTTCCAGTTCATTTTTAATTTCTTTGGTCAGCAGAGACCCTGTCCTGCTGTGGTCAGACTGGGCCTGGGGTCCCCTCACGAGGCCGAGTGGACCCCGAGCACCCGGACACAGCTCGGTGCCGGCGGAGCAGAGGGGTGTCCGCGGTCTCTGGCCCATGGAGCTCTGCTGCCCGTGGGCAGTGCCTGGGTCACCCCGGCTGAGGACCGGAGGGGTCAGTCCTCCGCGCCACAGCCTCGTGTTTTATTCAAGCTCATGCGCCACAGCCTCGTGTTTTATTCCAGCTCATGTCTGCTCTTGGTGTCAGCCTGCGTGCTCCTCCTGCTCTCTGTTCATTCTGCGGTGAGCTCACCGTGCCGCAGCCGCAGAGCGGTGACGGCGCTGACAGCCGTTACCAGGCGGTGTTCTTCCCTACCTCGGTGTCATCAGGGAAATAACGGACAGGCCGCTGTCAGAGCCACGGGCTGGTTCTGACTGAATTTGATAATTTCCCTGCAATCTCCTACAGGCTAGGAGCTGGGTGAATCGGAGCCGTGCAGCTCGGCGGCTGGCGGGGGTCCCGGGTGGACGCTGGCTCCCACCGGTGACCCCCGGCTGGGACGCGGCGGTGCAGACGGGCAGCAGAAGTGGGGCGTTGGGCGCGTCGTGGGCAAGTTGGAAACCTGAAAATGGAAAAGAAGCTGTTTGAGCGTGGTGTGTTAAATTAGGAACAGCAGGTTGGGGAGAGGGACAAAGAACGCCTTTCTGGGCAGGCGAGGGACCGTCCCAGGTGTCGCGTCTCCTGAAGCAGGGGGATCGTGTTGTTGAAGGTGAGCAACTCCATGATTGAAGTTTATTAAAAACAACAGCAGTTTAATGGAAACTGGACACCCCAGTGGTTCCTAAGGTATACGTTCAGCCTTCCTCCGCTCAGCGGTGTGACCGCTAATTATTTTTTTAATATCTTTTTTCTACATATTTTAGAATTTGCACTTTAGTGTAAAATTGGAAGCAAAATCCAATTGTGTAAGAAAATTAATTTCCTTGAATTGAAGAAGCAATCTGCTTGAGACTTTTTAATCATGAGATGGTAACTGTGCACTAAAGAAAGGAAGACCATTAAAGTAACTTAATAGACGGGGATGAACGTTTTTCCCTGTATCTTCTTCATCTTTATTTAGAGATTCATGCAGAGGATATTTCATAAAAGCTGCTCTTCTTGACCTTTTCCTCACTTACTGTGCAGAGAAGCCAGCCGAAATAATGGCAAGGAGCGAAGGCTGTGGATTTCTGGATACAAACCCGGTAATTCTGCTGCACGTCTCTGTTCATCCTTTTCTGCCAAATCCTGCTTTTCCTTTCTCATTAAAGAAAGAATAGCTATCGGGACAAATGAAAATGCATTTAGCTGAGCTGAGCTGTGTGATTTTTAAAAACAAATTGTGTTAATGCTTTTAATTAAGGGGCAGAGGAACAAGAGGCTTTATCAGCTCTTTGTCTGGAGGCCGTTATTTCATTGTGGATGGGCTCTCTGTTATTGTAAGCGTCCACCTTTTTGAAGGATTTACTACAAAATCAAATGGTGTTTTTATTTAAATTTTGGAGCGCCACTTGATTCCTCATTTATTTAATATGGAGGCATTGTTACAAAGAAGAATGTAGCACTTAATTTGTATTGCTGGAGGGACCTTGGGAGCGCTGCTTTGCACGCTCCGCGGTGTCGCGTGTTGAAAACAGAACGTGCAGCAAAATGGAGAGGAGGAAGACATGAAGGTGGGGTTACAAAATCCCAACCAGGCTGCTTCCAAGAGCGTTTTGGAAAGGGTCGGTGACTCTGTGGTCTACAAAGTGAAGTCACATTGCAAAACAATGAGGAGAAAAGCTTTCTTGGGGTACAGATCCTGTGGATGGCTGTCGAGCCGCTCCTAGTTCAGGAAACTTTGTTTATCTGGTGGTGATTTCCCAGTGGTTGACATTATTGGGTTAGAAATGGAGTTTCATTTGTGTGAAACTTTCACCCAGATTTTTGTATGGCTTTAACTGTTATCTGAGTGTCTTTAACAGACCTAACAGGTTTTGACTGGAGGAGTCAGAGGTTCCCGTGCTCCCCCACACCTATTCCCTGTGGAGGAGACGAGCGGGGTTGTTCACGCTCCGTGTAAAACCAGAGCAACTTACCCTTCTGTTTAATTCTAGGAGGTAATCTGGGATAATGGAGCTATTAGATTTGGCATCTGTAACGTGGTTATCATTTCAGGAAGAATTGTTTCTGCTAATGGCAGTTAACTTGCTACAAATAAAGCAATAGAATTGAAATCTTAAGTACTAGAGTGGCAGCAAAGCATGAAACATTATTCCGCTTATTGGAAGGCAGGCCGAGTGGGCTGTCAGGGAAGAAATCTATTGAAAAAACCCTCTGATGGATTCCAATTCTAACTAATTTAATACGGCGGCAGCAGCGTTCAGCTGTTCTACCAGTCTATTAAAAGTATTAAAATATCTATAAATAATAATACTTAAGTGGCTAGAACGCCTCATCCCCGGAGCTCAAGGGTTTCTTGAAGATTAATGTGGGTGGCCGTTGGCGGAGCGGGGCTGTGAGGTCCTGGGATTCTGGAGCCCTGGGCTGTGTTGGGGACCCCAGATGCTCCTCGGGCAGATACGGGCATTCTGCGTGGTGTGGAGGGAGAGGTTGGGGGTGGGCCAGATCCTTGCTATCAGTGACCCGAATGTGGATGTGTTCAAGGGTGCTCTCCTCCTCTGCAAGCCATAACTGCTCAGCTCAGCCTGGAGCGTGCTCCACAGCATGGACAAGCTGTGAAATGTACTTTGAGCCAGGATTTTGGGGCTGCCGTTAAAATACACGATCCTGTTGCCCCTTTTCTACCTGAAGAGCAGGTTCCCTCTGGAGAACACTGTTTCTGGGTGGTGCAAGATCTCCAGATACGTGTCCTGCCATTGGTGCTACACCCTGCGAGCCTTCCCCGGGCAGCCTGAGGCATGTGTCCCCTGGGCGAGGAGCTGTGGGGGTGATGGCCCGGCCCGTCCGGTGTGGTGGAGCTTTCCCTGCTCGCAGCTTGGAGCTCAGGGTGGGCAGGGGGGTCCTGTAGCTCCCCAGAAGAGCAGGCTCTGCCAGTACCTTGGCATGGCTTAGCTGTAAAATTCATTGTCTCCTCCCTGCTGATCGCTCAAAGTGGATTCTTGGGATTTTTTTTACTTTACAGCGTGGATTCAAATGAAAGCAAGTTAAAGGGGAGAACAGGTTTTATATTTCTATTTTAGAACAGAAAATATCCCAGGGGGTAAACTTTCCACGTACCATAACCGCAACACATTAGCCTATCCCCAGGCAGCAAGAGTGTAATGATACGGTTTTGTTCAGTGCCGTGCTCTGTGGCAAAGTGTAATGTGATGGAGAGGGTCACAGTGTTTAACCACGCACAAAATACCCCCAAGCGTGATCTCGGCTTGCGCGGATCAGAGCGGCGTCCTCGTCCCCGGGCAGCTGTGTCAGCTGGAGACCTGGGCCGGTGTTTCGCAGGGTGACGAGGGAGGGAGGGAGCGCACGTGGCGGCCGGGGTCGTTAGTGAGCACAACCATCTATTACATCCTTGAAATTGCATAGTTGTTATAACTTAACCCCTGACACCGAGTTTTCCCTCAGCCTTTCTGCTGTCCTGCCGGTGGCGATGGTGTTAGTGCGGCTCTCGTTTTCCGCTGTTATTTTCCCTGGCCGGACGCTGCTGTGGCGCAGGGGGAGCCGAGCAGCGCTGGTCACCGGAGGGCACAGCCTTGCGCAGGGTGAACGTGAGAGCTTGGTCTCTGACCCGGAGCGCTGCCGATATTGGTGGAACGGGGCCAGTGACACAGCAGATATTCCTGCAAACAGTTGGCTTGAGTTTTTGAAAGATTTGCTGCTGCAGATTTGCGATTTAGCTTGGTGTCACTGGTTGGTGCTGACTCCTGTGTGATGTCGTACAAAGATCCCAGTTGGAAACCCAGTTTCACAGGATACCGTAGAACTGTAGTCTGTCCTGAAGTCTAGCCCTCTGTTACCAGACGTGCTAGAAGAAAGGAAGAGAAAGGAAATTCCATTACTGTATTTCCTTCACTTACAGGGAATGGAAACCCAAAGAAGTTGTGCCCTTGCGCATGGACACACCACGGTGTTCGCGATAGAGCCGAGACCTGAAGGCTTTTCAGTGATTTAATCCCAGGAGAGCTCTTTCTCCAGTCTATACCCAGTGAAATGAGCTTCCATTCTGGACAACTTCTTTGCGCTGGTAAAGTAATGTCCTCAGAGGCGCAGAGCTCACTCATTGCCACCAAGTCTCGGGGAGAAGCGGTGGCAGGAAGCATCTGAAGCCAACAGGAGCTTCGCAGAAATTAGCCCTCTGTCTGTTAAAAATTGGAAAATAGCAATAATCATTCATTTCTGTTGTTTTGCTCTTCGTACAGGACGCCAGCGATGATCGGTTGCTCGTTTGTTGTGCACAGAAGATTCTTTGGAGAGATTGGACTTCTCGATCCTGGGATGGATGTGTACGGAGGGGAGAACATCGAGCTCGGCATCAAGGTTTGTGACACGTTTGCGAGAAAAATTGCACCTAACAGTACGTAAGGAACCCAAAACAACACTGAACAAGTTAGCATAAACAGTTATTAGAATGCTTCAGGGGAACTGAGCATTGGTGGGTTTGATAGCATTTTAATTTAAGTTTAAGGGGGGGAAAGGATGTGCTTTTAGGGGTGAGTGTAGTTTATTTCCATGGATTCTTACCTGTCTGACCTGGTGCAAAAAGCTTCTGAGATGAAATGGCATGCCAGCTGAAACAGGCCCTGGTCACGTTGTCGCACAGTTGCCGTAAGCTCTAGGTATCTTAAATACCAGGAAAAATACAGTGCTGTTTTTGTCATGTGAACGGTCTTAGGGGGGCTGGTGGGACGCTTGTGACTATCTCAGGAAGACACAAAGACTGGGAACATTTTACAGACATTTAGCACCTGCAGATAACTAGGTTCAGACACAGGCAAAACCTGCTTTCGAAAGCAAAAGGCAAATAGCCACGTTTTTAGAGCTGCCTCGGTGCCTCCACGCAGACATTTGTCGTTACAGAATCCACTGTGATAACATCCCTTGATTACTGTGTACGGTATTAGACGTGGCTTAGTGATTCAAGTGTTTACATACAGTGAAGTGATTCATAAGCAATGAATGCAACGTTCAGAAGCAACTCGGGATGGCAAAGTCTGTGGAGATTCTGCCAGGCGTGTTTTAGAGTGCAGCACTTGTGCGTTAACAAGCTGATAGGGAGAGGCTTGAGACTTATAACTGGAAAATTGAATTGCCTGTGCTGTTGTTCAAATGAAAAATCATTGTTCAGTTCATAGATTTGCCAGAGGATATTTGCTTTGCTGGCAAATCAGAAGAAACTTAAGAAATCTTATTGTTTATTGGCTACGGGGAGCAATAATCTCACTTAAACAAGGGAACAGAAATTAAAGGCTTTAAATATGCCACATAGCTCTTCCCCATATGAAGTAATCATTGCACATCATCACGCAGCTCGCTTCTCGCGTCTAGAGAGATGCTGCGCTAAAGCAAGCTTCTCTTGTGGCTATCCTCATTTGCTTGTTTGTGGGATTTTGTTAATAATATCATTGTGGAACTGGTCTTCTCACCGTTAGTAATTCGACCCATCTGCTAGGTTTTGGGGGGGATTTCATGGAAGATTGGCTTTTTAACTGGAAAAATAAGATGGATGTCTCAGGAACAAGTGATGAGAGTATGTCCTCTTATTTTTCACATGCTGAACTATTTGGAAAGGCTATCTGATAAACATCCTTTTGAAAAAAAAATAAAATCCCTCACTTTCCCAAGCTGGCGTTCCTCACCCATATGTTTCCCTGCTGCTTGCACACTCAGATGCTATGTGTTCTGATCAAGATTTCAAAAATATTGGTGGTTTGGGGAGCCAAAAGACTTCGGATATCCACTTTTTAAGACTGTGCAAAAAGTAGATTTTCAAAGATTCCTGAGCTCCAGAAATCAGCCTCTGTGCCGGTGTCTTACTTAGCGACCAAGAGCTCCTGGCCCCTGAGTCCCGCTGAGGACGCGGTGGCCGCTGCGTGTGCAGGTCGGGTGGCTCGTCCGCAGAGCGCTGCTGGCGACGGCGTGGCTGCGGTTGCCAGGTGTTTGGGTTCCACTTTGCAGTAAGATCTCGGTTATCGCTGGTTTATCCCAGGCCAGTCGTTGGATGTGCAAGGCGGCAGAGTCTCCTTAGGGGTTCAGGCCGATGTCAGGTCTCCGATGGGTCGCTCGGTCCCGGTGGACAGAGGTTGCCAGCCCTGCCTCGCGTGCTTGCGACCTGCCGTGGCCGGGGTCTGTAGCGGCCGTGTCGTGTTAGCAGTGATGTAGGGCTCGTTGGTAACAAAATCATTTTAAAGGGTCGACTCGAACAGAAAAGGATTAGGCTTTTTGTGGGCGTTTTGCCTGAGAAGTGGCTGGCTGTAGTCAGGTAAGTGATTCGGTGGTTCCCTGGTTGTTTCAGTGATTCTTGGATGAAAATAAATGCAGAAAGTATTTATTTTCCTTTTGGTGCAAATTTCTTCATCTTTCTGAGAACCGTGTGGCCTTTTCTGAACGTTGTATTCTTGTATTACCAAAATGAGATCATGAACCCATTGAGCCTATGAGAAGGACAGGGAAAATTTATAGTGTTCTAGGCAAAAGCACAAGCTAACTACGTTATGGTAAAATTAAAAGCAAGTCATCTGAATAACAAAATCAAATAAATAATTGGGAAGATTGGGCTGTCCTAACCTAGAAGGGCCAAGGCCGTATGCTGTACGAGAGTCCTGTTTTATTGATGTGATTCAAATATTCTAAAATAAGCTGCGCTGTGCCTAGGTGTGTTGAAATACACGGGCCATATGTTTCTTTCTGTTGCTGACTTCAGTCAGCTAAACGAGCAAGCTCCTGCATGAGCCGCTGAAAAGAATAAAACCCGTTACTCGCATCACGGAGGTGGCTCCGGGCTCGCTGCTCTCCCGGGCGTGCTGGGAAGCATCCTCGCCTTGCTCAGATGATGATGATAAAGCCATTAAACATGTCGCTGCCCCAGGCAAACTCCTGTTCTGCTTGCGGGGTGGCTTTGGCCCTGACAAGGGGAACGTGCTGTTCCCTCTGTTGTTGTCTGTTCTTTTTATCACGCTGGAGTGTCTCCAGAAGGTTGTGCTTACTCCTCTTGTCCCTGCTGTCCACTACCTCACTTCCCGAGGCAGAATTAAGTCCAAATCCCCTTTGCTTGGCAAAGAGCAGAGAAGTGTTTGCTAAGCAAGGCGCTTTAGGCTAATATTTCATCTGAAAGGTTTTCAAAGCTCTCCCCTCCGCCCCATATCGTAGTGCCAGGTCTTTTGTACCGTGGTGACAGCCGGAAGGACCCAAGGTTTGATCTCTGCTCGTGTTAAGAACTCCCCCCAGCAGAACGCTTGTGGAAATCTCATCCTCAGCCGGGCTGGTGACCAGGCAATGCTGGTGAGGCTGCTGGAGCCGGGGTGGGTGGAGACCACATCTCATACCTGTTCCTGGTCCTGCCGTCGGAACAGGGAGAGCAAGCGTTGCTCCAGGCTTTCCCTGTCCATGCCGTCCTGTCCCAGGGAGCGTGTGGGGGCTGTGGACCCCGGCCGTGGGCCCAGCTCCTGCCCTTGGTCCTAGAAGGAACATCCTGTGCCCGCTGAACAAGCTTTGGGCCAGCTCTTTTAACCCTTTGCTGTACTGAACAGGTTTCTGCTCTCATTTTATAAACCTGATGTCCAATTTCCACAGCTTGAAAGTGTTGAGGCTGCTCCGGGTCTCCACCAGCTCCACGTGTGAATTTTTGGCACGGAGGCTGCTCTGACGGTCGCTGCTCCTTCTGTTGAAAATTTCTATTATATTTGAAAACTCTTTGTGGCCCTGGCTTTTATACACTGTGTGACTAAGTGGGAAGGCTGCTTTTGCTGCGTGTCTCACTTGTGCTGGGCAGGGACGGTTTCCTGGCTGTCATGGTTAGTCACAGACATTCGTTAAAGATGCTCCATAAAATTATGCGTGTCTATTGGAATAAAGATGCAAAAGTCTATTGCATGACTGTTGCCGTGATTTCAAAGTCTGGGGTGGGTTACAAGGTTGTTTTCAGAGTATTTTGTGCTTCTGTCATGCATTGCTAATTAAACTTATTTGAGTTGTCTTTTAGAGATTAATTTAATCAATAAGGATATTATTACTACTTTGATGGTATCATTTGTACAAATTGTCACTTCAAGAAAGCAATTAACTGAGAATGCTTATTAGCTGATCCATCCCACACCTTATTTGTGTAGTAAGAATCGATTATTGAATTCATTAGAAAAGCACAATTCAGGGATCCTTTTGAGGTTTAATGGCTGACTCGAGCTGCTTTTTACTATGAATGTTAAATGGTCTGATGTTTGGGTTGGATCTTTTTAAACAGTTTCCAAAGGATAAGCACAGCGTGTCCTCGTAACATCCCAGATTTGTTTCCCAAAATTTATCATCCAGATTCAACAGGGCAGATTTCAGGTGCTGGGTTGGCCCTGGCTGGAAGCCAGGTGCCCCCCAAAGCCGCTCCATCGCTCCCCCTTCTCGGCTGGGCAGGGGAGAGAAAACACAACGAGAGACTCGTGGGTCGAGGTAAGGGCAGGGAGAGATCACTCGCCAGTTACCATCAGGGGCAGAACAGACTCAACTTGGGGAAATCCGTTTCATTTAGTACCAATCAAATCGGAGCGAGACAATGAGATTAAAACCACCTTCCCCCCAACCCCTCCCTTCTTCCCAGGCTCAGCTTCACTCCTGATTTTCTCCACCTCCTCCCCCCTGAGCGGTGCAGGCGGATGGGGAATGGGGGCTGTGGTCAGTTCATCCCATGCTGTCTCTGCTGCTCCTTCCTCCTCACGCTCAGCCCCTGCTCCAGCCTGGCATTCCTCCCACAGGAGACAGTTCTCCATTAAATTCTCCAACCTTGGTCGCTCCCACGGGAGACAGTTCTCCACAAGCTGCCCCAGCGTGGGTCCCTTCCTACTGGCTGCTTCAAAGGCTGCAGGGGAACCTCTGCTCCAGCACCTGGAGCACCTCCTCCCCTCCTTCTGCACCAGCCTTGGGGTCTGCAGGGCTGTTCCTCTCACATCATCTCACCCCTCTCTCCTGCTGCAATTGCTGGTGCGCAGCAACATTTCCCCCTTCTTAAAATGTTATCACAGAGGTGCTCCCACCATCGCTGGTGGGCTCGGCCCTCGCCAGCAGTGTGTCCTTCTTGGAGCCGGCTGGCGTTGGCTCTATGGGACATGGGGGAAGCTGGGAGTAGGGAGCTTTGAAAATCAAATGGATACAGCGAGGGACTGAGCTTGTTGTTGTTAGTGGGGATTTCTTTAGTCATCAGACCCTCATCCTGCAGCCGCTTAGGCACGTCGGTAGCCTGACTGCAGTGGCAGCGACGCTGATCCTCTCCCAGAGGGTACCGTGCCTGTGTACCCTGCAGTCCTCCAGAAACCCTGAAAATAGATTAAATAGCATTTTAATGGTACGAATCTCTAGTGTGCGTTTCATCCA